GATCCCTCCCACAGGCTGTTCAGCCCTCGCGTTATCGTTAATATTTTCGGCATAGTTTTTAATCCACGGATTAGTTGATGATTTGTGGGTTTTATTAAATTCACTATTAATACGATAATCAGATGAACCTCTCCTTCTCTCAATGAATTTGTCGCCAAAAACAAATTCATTTGAATATATGAAAAATGTATTCACAGTAAACAAATCTAAGCATTTTAAATAATATGGAATATTAAACAAAACTGATTTGTATAATATATAATTTACCGTAACTTATATTACCGTATACTTACTTAAAATTAAAAAATACTTTAATAAGGGAATTATGATTTGAGATCTCATTTTATATAAGTTGTTTTCAATGAAATATATTAATGAAAATGTATATTTAATTATTAACTAATAAATAAACAAAATTTAAATCAAAGATTTACACACACAAAAAAGTTTTATTTAAAAATTTATTTTCATTCTATATCTTCGCAAATAAAAGAAACTTTTTTAATAACAAATATTTGTTTATTTTGATTTTAAAATTAATTAAAACATAAACGTGTATACATTCAAAATGGTAATACAAACTATACTTGTGTATTGAATTTTAATTTTCTTTATTCTATATCTAATAATTAATTCTAAATTATTTATTCTAATAAAAATTACATCAAAATATTACTACAATTTAGAATTATGGACTTACAAAATGACTACAGTAGTTAAAATAATAATTTAACACAAATTTAAAACAATTCATATCAAAATTTTACAGTTTTAATTTAAATTGGATATGCTATAAATTACAAAAATTAATGCTGTAATTATTGTTTTTAATTAGTTGTAATTTTATTTTGGATCCAATTTAGAAAATAAGATACTTTAGTATAAACACCGGGATATTCATCTGTAATAATTATGTTAAAACTTATATTAGTCATAATTAAGATTTTATTATAATAATTTAATAAATAATTTAACCTGCACAATTAATACCATATGACACGATACCGACTAAAATCCCTGTGTCTAATAAAATAAAATAAAATCTATCATTATATCAAAATGCATATAAAATTCTATAAAATTATGTTAACATTCATATGAATACCATTCACATAATCGACTGCCGGACCACCGGAATCTCCCTTAAAATACAAACTCATAAACATTAACAGATATTTTTTACAATCAGATAATTTTGGACATACACTACAGGCATCCTTTCCTTCATCTAATGTGCAAATCTGTGATCTGTATATCTTATAAGATTGGCGCTTAAAAGTTTGAGCACACTTTTCGATGGGCTCTATATTTAGTTTAACTTCTTGTAAATCAACTGGACCAGATCCTGTATCGTACCTCAAAAGCCCCCAACCGGCCACCACTACCACATCACTAGAGGGTTCTTCGTATGGAACCGATGGCAGACAAATGGGTTGAATTGAATGTTTCATTGCAATCGGTTCACTCATCTTCATGAGCGCAATGTCCGACTCTTTATAATTATATTTGTTATAACTTTCGTGTGAAACAATTTTTGTCACATTATATGGCACTCCATTCAAGTGATTATTATTGCCCACTCTTACCACGAAGTAATCATGGGTTCGCCTATTCCTATGAATGCATTCATTTAATCACTTGTTTAATATTTATTGTTAAATAAATGATAAAATTTACTCAAAGACGTGGGCAGCCGTTATGAGCCACCACTCGTTCATAATGACAGCACCGGCAATGGATTTACCATTTTTATAAACCGCTGCAATCCATGGATGAG